GTAGTAGTCGTAGTAGTCGTAGTCGTGGTAGTAGTTCTACTTCTGCTTCTACTTCTTCTACTACTGCTTCCACGAACAACAACAGCAACAACAACAACACCAACAGCAACAACAACGACCACAAGAGCAGCAGCAGCAGCGACAGCAACAGCAACAGCAACAGCAACAGCAACAGCAGCAGCAGCAGCAGCAGCAACAACATCAACATCAACAACAACATCAACAGCCGCAGCAAAAGCACAGCAACAACTGCTGCTGCTGCTGCTGCTGCAGAGACTAGCTGACAAGCACCGCCTTCCTTTCATCAGTTCGCCAATGTCTTCAGTGTAATTTGGAGCACGTCATTGCAGACATTTCATGTTCGGCTTTTTCATCCTGAGCCGCCTTCCCGCAGGAGCTCAAACGCGGTCCCGGTGTCGGAGTCTCAGAGAATCAGGGCGTCGGTTTCTGTTATTATCGGTGAGAGAGCCATGCTCCAATATCTTCATTAAGCAAAACACGCAAAACACCTGCTGTTTATGTTCTGAAGAAGGTTTTTTCATGGGAAGGCTGACATCGTTCACTCTCGATGTATGTTGGTGCTTGTGATGATGATCATGTCGGGGGCCGGGTGCGTGATGATGATGATGATGATGATCGCCATATCATGATCATGATGTTTCCTGGGCGACAGAAGTGAAAACATCAGAGTCCTCCACCAATAGGACCTTCAATAGGAAGCTTCACTGATGCCAAACGCAACTGTAGCACTCCAACAGCAACATTACTAAGCTTTGGGGACGGGGGAGCAGCATGGCCCTAGACGAAGTCTCGTGAGCTGCATGAAACTGTTGCCATGCGACCTCATGCTATGATGCGAACGCTTCGTGAAGAGACCCTCCATCCCGAGCTGAAGTCGCAGCAGACGGTGGCAGTGTGGGACCGACAGCCCCTTTGCACGAGATCAGCTAAAGCCACGATTCGAACCCGCACCAATCCAAAGTGAGGTTGCAGCTCTGGTGCAGGGTGCCTTTGCCTCGGCGCTGGTTTCACCGTGGCTTCTTCGAGCGACATGTTTTTTGTTTGCCGTGTGTGTGTGTGTGCGGAGGGTTTTGTTCTGAAGTTCTTGCACCTCCTACACACATATCTCACAGGAAAAGAGAGTTCGCATCATTACTAATGTTAAACCTACCAGTTTGCCCAGCTTGCGGTTCAAGTTTTGTGCTGCATGCAGGGGCGTTTTTATGTGCAGAGACTCATGAAGGCAGACAGACAGACAGACAAACACAGAGCAGAGCAGGAGACAGGGTTTTTCCGGAGCCTTGAGCGAGGCGAGCCTTGTCAAAGCGGACATGCCAACGGGAGACCTAATATGAGAGACTCGATCATATGGGGAACTGTTGCAGTTGTCGTTGCTCTTACTCTTGCCATTGCTGTTGCTGTTGTACCTGTTGATGATGGTTCTGTTCTACTTAAGATGTTGTAGCTTGCACAATCTTCTGAGAAATGCAGATGGTGGTGATGGAGACGATTCCCTTGTGAAAAAAATGGCACGGAAAGAAGGGCTTGGGCCGGCTGCCGACACTTGCCGTGTTCTCCCGACCCTAGGATGCTAGCGCTCCCGTCGTGGTGCCCCTACAACCTGTAGACTGCCAACGCGCAGCCATAATCACAACTATCGCCGTGAGTTTTGTGTAGAGCAGGAGCCACTAGAAAGAATCATATTTCGGTGCTCCGAGACAGGAGACAGGGCGAGAGCCTGAATCCACCACAATCCGCATTTTTGGCAATGCTTTTTAATTCGTAGAGACATGTCAAACGCTAGAGCCCAAGACTTGAACACACGTGGGCCTAAAACCCCTCCATTTTCGTACTTGGAAGTTATTTTCAGACCGGGAAGTTGAGGAGCTTGGTTCAAAAATACGCCAACCACAGACGCACTCCGATACCTTCATGCAGCTTCGCTTAAGGCCCTGAAGCGAGCACAGGAGGCTCCCTCTGCGAGAGACTCAGCTCGGACTTATCCAGCCTTCGGAGATGATGGGAGGCTTTGTACGACGACGTTCAGACGTAAGCAGGAAAGTCCGTAGTATCGCCGCGTAGAGCTGTTCCGCACATGCGATGCTGCCATCACTCAGCATGATCGTGAGCCTTCATGTTGCCTCATCAACAGGATTGTGAGCCAGGCGTTGAGGCGAGTCAGATGTGCCGTCAGTAATGGCACCACGACGAATGAGGTGTCTGAGCCGAAAGTGCGCAGTTGTTGTTTACAATACGTTGCTTACTTGAGCTTTTGAAGACTGTGTAGTCATTGTTACAGTTGATCATGCGTTGATGCTGGAGCTAGATTCGCACTTCCCGAAAACTGCCTGTTAAACTATGCGGAGCTGTTCTTGCGTTGGCTTGCCAACAGTTGCAACAAAAAGCTCCCCTTCAGGAAATTTTACGCTCGATACCTAACTCCAAGACCCCAAGCTGCCAAGAGCTCCCACCCCGGACTTCCCGTCTCCACAAGATGGGCAAGAAAGACGAGCTCGTGGAGAAAGCGCAGCGCCAGCGCGAAGAAGCCGAGGCGGCTGCGAAGAAGGCCATGGATTTAGGGTTCCGCTCCCGGCCTCTTTTCTGGTATCTGACTCAAGTTTCGTAAGGCAGGGTGTGCTCCTTGAAGCTAGTCCGGGCCAAGTCTGCAAGTAGGAGGTCCAGACCATCCGGCTCACACCCCAAAGCAGCAATAAAATCGTTCACCATCGCATGGCAATTAATTATGCAAGAAGCTCTAAGGTTGTTGGTCCAAAAGAGCTTCTCTGTAGCGTTCTCAAATTCAAACATTTCCCGATGGGTCATGCATCCATAGTTAGAGTTTGGATGGTAATGTGTGATGTCAGTGATGTCATGCAAGGCTTACCCGGCCTACCCATCAAAGAATTCTTCTGGCACGATAAAAAACCTCAGTCCTCAAGTTTTCGACACATCTTCGCAGCATGCCCGAGACCCGAAAACGAGCGACTGCGACGGGGACAGGAACTGGAAAAGCAAGAGCATGAGAAGGAGTTTCTCGGCGACATTGACTTCGGACTAGTCTGAAGGCTTTAACTGAGGAGTGGCCGGGGCGCAAGGCCAAGCCCCAAGCACCTCAACCCAAGCCAGCTTGCGGTGCTTCTTGAGAGTTTAGTCAGTGATGCGGCTTCCCAATCTAATCCTGTATGAGTCTTAGAATCTACTTAGAGTTTCCATGCAGAACGGGGCAGGCTCAGACCTTGTTGGCACAGGTACATGTACTCCCGGTTAAACTTCCGTAGCGGAAAGACTTGTACCAGGCTGGCATGCACGGCCCGTTTCAGCATGCCAGCAGTCCAGCGTGTATGTGCGATTATGTGCGTGTGTCTGTTTGTACGCCTGTTCTGCTTACTTGGACCCAGGCTGGAGCGTCAGGAGGCCGAGCGGCAGAAGCGGGAAGAGCAGAAAAAGGCCACGGAAGTTCCTCATGCGCGTGGCAATGACCCATCATCCTTCTGAAATCCGCAGGTACAGGACCATAGGAGTGACAGTAATGGGCTTAGTACTCGCCGCCATTGGATTCGTTATGAGTTAGGAGGTGCATCTTGTTGATTAGAGTAAGGGTTCGAGGTTTCCTATGAGAGGGAACAGACTTTCGAAGCTTCTGTCTGCTTGCAGTCGCGGCGGTCGTCGTCGCTATCGCGAGCATCAATGTTGTTGTGGCATGGTGGGTTTGGCAAGTAGCCTTTTCGACATCGCCAGTGATCTTCACAAATGTTCCGGAAACAAAATGCTAGTAGAACAATAGACACTGCTAGCAATGTTACTTTCAGATTGTTTACCAAAGATGAAAACAAGCATAGGCAGAATGCTACTGCTGAGTGCTGCTGATGCTCAACGTGACCCGGCGTAGACTCATCACCCATCACCATCGTCGTCACCAGTTATCATCATCATCCTCGCAATGCTCAGCCATCATGCCACTCTGATCTGAAATTGTTCACCAGGTGGAGGAGGAGAACAGGCGGAAGCTTGAGGAGTTGCAGGCGCCAGGGTTGAATGCAACACGACGTTGATCGGTCCGTTGCTGTTTGTAAGTAATTCGGGAAAGTGTAACAGATTCTAGATGCCTTGCCTGCTCGGGCTATTTGAGCAGCCAGGAAGCAAAGAATGTGTTGCTTTGTCGGTAAGTTCAGTTGCCCCCGCTCTTGTGCGGTGCGATGAGCAGGGTGACCTCCGTCTTGCAGGTTTGGGGTTTTGGAGGCTCAGATCCAGGGAAGAAGAGCGTGCGGTCGCATTCATTCACAGGGGTTGCTTGCAGGGTCGCTCTTCCGATGTAGGACGTACAAGGTACGCAGCAACAGGACCCACGAGAGCGTCATCATTTGTAGTTCTTTGTGGTTGCAAACAAAAACAACAAGCCAGGACCATCATCATCCTCATTCCCGCTATCGCCGCCATCACCACCATCGGAAGATATGAACCACAGGGCTCCCCAGCACAATGCCGCATCCCTACTGCTGCTTTCATGCTTTCCACTTTTCAGCTTGTCTCGTCACCACCGCCGGCAGCAGCATTACTAATTACTATCAGCAGCCACATCCTCAAGCTCGTAATCAGTTGTCATGACCTTATTCTCATCCCGGTTATCACAAAACCCGACTGCCCCAAATGTGCACATGGGAAAGGCGAAAGAAAGGGAAAGAGTGCAGCGGGAGGCTGCCGAGAGGCAGCGATGACCTTTGTGTGACTTGCGTCAGCTGCATAAATATGAAAAAGCTCAACCTAACTTGCCAGATGCTAACGACCGAAGCTGAATTATGTCGGGCTTCCTGCTCCAGATAGCCTTGGTGTTGAGTACTTAGACCCGAAGAACTGAGCATCATGCAAAGATGTGCGAGTGGGGGTGCCTTGACGACCCATGGTGCATTTGCGACCCCTTAGACCTACAAAATAGTCTAGCAACGCGACGCAGGAAGGTTATGGTTCGCCCGTTTTGAGGTTTTGGTTCTTCAGAAACGACGCATCCATGCAACAAAATGTGTGTGTGTGTGACTTTGGTTGGTTTGTGCCATGTGGAGCATCTCCTGTCGCCCGAGTTGCAGAAGTCTCAGCGTGTGAGGTTGGAATTTGGAATTGTAGATGCAACCTAGGTGGAAGCAACGGGAGAGCCCACGGCTGGAGAGATGCACTTGTTGTCATGGTGCAAGGGCTACTGTGGATTCGACCTTCGTGTCTTCCTTCCGACTGATACTTATTCTTGCTAGTTTGTCCAGCAGGGTATTTCAGATTTCGTCTGGGACGTCGTGTTTTGTTTGTGTTAAGTTGTGGTCGCATGGTGCAGGGTTTCGGTGTTTCCGGCCGGCAGACAGTGGGGAAAGGCTACTGTTCCACAGTACACGATGCGACGAACACTGGGCTCAATGCAAGATGTCTTCTTTTGCTAGGACACCGAAGATGGGCGGGAGTGCGACTCTAGTCCTTTGCACCAAACCCAAAGTGCAGAATCTGCTCTGCCGGGCTGCAGGCGAAGGCAGGCTGAGAAGGCTGACGAGGCCCGCAGGGTAAGCAGTTGCCACTATTAATACGCATGTTTCTGTTCATGCTATGCTGCATTTGCAGATGCAATACATGCATATTATGTTTGTTCTTGGGCGGCTGTGGCTCCGTACCTCACCCCTGCGAGTCCAATGCCAAAGCCTGCATATACACGGGTGCGATGCACATTGTAGCCACTGTTGTTTGGGGCCTTCTCGGCAAGTCCCATTGCACAAGCTTCTTCTGAGCCTTTCTGACCTGTGTTTAGTCGCCACACCACGAGGAGATGAAGAAAAAGGAGGCCGAGACACGCGACCAGCGCGTGAAGGCATGCATGTTGATCCCAGCCTTCGGAATTCCTGTTTGAGGGCTGCGGAGGCAGCTTCCTGATTCGACATTAGGTGGGAAATAGGATCGACACAAGAACGAGATGTGTAGTGCAGTATAGGCATCAGTTTAACTGTAGAACGACTTTGCCACGCACAGGCGGTGCATCGAGTGCTCTTCAATCATTACGAACGAAGCACCTCGATATAAGTTGACTCTTGAATGTTGCTTCCTTGATGTCGGGGGACTCAAAAGTCAAAAGGGTAGGACGGGTAGGACTCCGTGCGTTCTAGAGCCAGGCCAGCGTGGAGGCTGCCAAGAAGCAGCAGGTGCGCACTGCCAGAAATTTGCGACACAGGACTCCCACAAGAGCTGCCCCATCCCAGTCCCAGTACAGACGATTGATGTTTGTTGTTGTGACATCGTGTGCGTGGCCACCGATGATGTACGTATTTTGGATAGGTGCCGTGCGATTCATAGACTTCTGACAGCTCCAGAACGCTACAAGTCAGGTGCGACTTCTTTTTCATTGTGCAAGAATCAGTGGAGTCCTTCGGCTGTGACTACAGTGTTAAATGTGTCCTAGTTTCAGAGTTGCCAACCATGGGATTGCACTTGGTCAATAAAATACTATGGAATTACCACTATCAAGGCTAGCATCATTGATCTTCGTGGCTACCTGAAACTGTCGAGCTCGAATGTTCCAACCAGGTGTCTCAGCGTGATCCCTGAGAGCCGAAGACGTGTGAACCTTGTGGCAGATGATTATGTCCAGGCTGATCGCGCTGCTGCCAAAGCCGCCAAAGAGGCGGGCCTAAGAGCCTTCACGTATTCTGCTACTGCTGCTACTGCTACTACTAACTACTACGACGGCGACCTGCTGCTACTACTACTACTACTACTGCTACTACCACTACTACTTGCCAAGTGGGTGTCAAAAACTACTACTACTACTACTACTACTACTACTGCTACTACTACTACTACTACTACTACTACTAGTACTAATATTGCCAGTGTAATACTGCTGTTCTACTACCACTACGACGACTCCTACTCCTCCTCCTCCTGCTGCTGCTACTGCTACTGCTACTGCTACGGGCACGGCCACTGCTACGGCTACTACTCTGCCACTGCTTCTACTGCTACTCCTGTGACGATGACGACGACGGCAAAGACGACGACTACTACTGCATGCACGACGACTATACTATTATGACGACGACTACAACTGCTGCGGCTGCTGTTGCTACACGGTACTGGAGCTACCGCCACTACTTGCTCGCCTACTGTTACTCGTCGTCGACGGCGATGACGACGACGAGTTTTGTCATGAAGTCTGCAACCTCTACAACGACTGCTTCTGCTGCTACTGTCACTCGCAATCTACGACCAGCATTATGACGACCAACATAACTACGAAGACGGATGGAATGCCAGCGGCCTTTCATCCCAACCACAGAGTAGCCAGCAACAACAGCAAGATCACGATTGTACAGCTGTGGCTATGTTGAAAGTAAACTAGTAAACTAGTAGCTGCAATAAGGACATGAGATTCAACCATGGTAGGAAGAGCGAATCTGGTAGTCCTCGTAGCCGTAGCGGTAGTCGTGCACGTCAAGGTCATGACCATACTCGTCAATCGCCGTCAAGCTAGCGCCATCGCATCGCAACGAGAGCCAGGCCGAGTCCCTGTACGGCGACATGCCGCAGTTGGGCCCCAGGTGGAGCATTCCGGCATTTGTGGTGCAAGATTGCCTGGATTCTAGCAATGTCTGTTTTCGTCTCGGGTCGGGCTGTGTCATTGATGTTCCTGGAGAGCAGCTGTTGAGACCGAGGTCAGCAGCGACTATGGAAAGATATTGATTACAGCTACTGGCCGGTACCTCCAAGAGCCATGAACAACCTACAGTACATAATCTGAACTCTGAATCTTAGGGCGCAGGCATGAGTCGTTGCACCATTAGATCGAGGCCTTGGTGTTTAGGCTGAGCACCCTTCCAGGCGATCTCGGACAAGTCGCAGTTTTTCAAATTGATACTCTGAACCAGCAAAGCTTGAGCTCCGTTCTGGGCTGCACCGCTAACGCAGCTTTGCTAACCACAGCTCGATGTGGCCACTGAGCTGATCTTTCGCTTCGACACACCACGTCAGCCATATCCAGCCCACGATTTTGAAGGGCCTTCCCAACGACATTCGGTCATGGCACACTTTTACAACATACCGAAAGCTAAGACTACCTGCAAGACCAAGGCCAGACGCAGACTCTGCAGCCGCATCGGAGGCCAGACAATAAGCACACGTAAGAACTCTGTGTCGCTGCTTTTGGGTAGATGTTGCTGCAGATGCAGCCTTGGTATGTCGACCCGAGGCTAATGATGCTAGGATTCTCGATGAGATGATGCTTGGTTCCATAAGCAGAAGATATCCTACTTATGCCGATGCCGATGATACTCTTCGACACTCTTCGAGTTGTTTGCCGCGAGGCAAAGCTGATGATGGTCATGATCGCTCGTTGCGATATGTGATGAGGTGGCTGATGCCCATGATACAGGGAGCTGATGCTCATGATGCTCATCACCTCTGGTGTAAGGATGCGAAAGGCAGCCAGTGGTGGTAGTGGTGATGCTCACTCGACGGTTCGCGTGGTGAGCAGATTTCTGGTGAACGGCAACATGTGGTGGTATGACCCTGCGTGGGCTCAAAGGTCCGGACACGGGAGAGTGAGTTTAGAAAGATTTCTAGCTGGTGCCGATTATGCTAGCCCTGCAGTTCGCTGAATCCGTGCAGCGACTGGGTCGAACTGCTGCCCTGCTGTGGTTCGACACTGCGGGAGGCGTTGCGGGAGCCCCATGAGCGGGCTTGATAGCAAAAGTCACGAAAGCAAGCTCTGTAGAGCTTGCGGGAGTTGGCGTTTGCCATTCGATTGGGTGGTAGGGACCTAGCCGTTCACAATAGTTAACAGGGGGGGGCCCCGCGCCACGCGCCACCACGCAAACGATGGGGCCCACCTCCAGGTCCATCACGGTCCATCTGAGTATGCTAAGCTTCCACCAGGACAGATCGAAGCTGCTCGCAGATGGCCGAGTAATTGCTTACGCAGGGACACTCCCGACGCGCAATGAGGTCGGTCAAGGCATCTTTATGCGGGCCAGTGTAAAGCAGAACTACTGCTATCATCTTGCAGGTTTAAGCTTCATGGCACGTACTACATATATACATATATACTTAAAATATATATATATATATATACACACACATATGCTTGCATCCACGCTGCCCGAGCTCTGTCGACTCTGGAGACCGCGTGCCATTGTCAGACTGTGGGGTCGAGTCGTGCCCCCAACCATAGGTCTTGCGGATGTTCGTAGCTTGAAAAACTTCATCCTTGCGTGAAGGCTGCCATGCGAGCTGCTGGGGAGCGAGGGCCGCAGGCAGGGGGCGTGCTGCTGCTAGGTGTATGTTATACATCACGACTCAGGGAATCTGCCAGATGGTTCCGGCAGCAGCTTCCAGGGTTAAAGTTAATAGTTGTGCGCAGATTGGCAGAACTATGTCCACAGGAGAGTGCTCCATGACGTCCTAAGGATGTTTTCATTTCAGTTCCTGTGACATCAGAATCTCTCTCTTTGCCGAAGAGGTTGGGTATCATGTCTAGCATCGCTTGGTCTTACTGTGCTTATTTGCATCTTTCTGAAAGCCCATCAAAAACACAGTTAAACGATCCTGGATAAGAAGTGGTGGGATGTCGACCGCCTGATATGAACATGTGGGACAAGTCGCCGTCTCTGAGAGACACAGACAAAACTGAACAAGACTCCAACGTGGCTCACAGGATGATCTTGCGAACTACCACCATGTAAATAAACGGATCGCAGACTCCCGACTGGGTCAGGCGGACTTGGGCCTCGCTCCGGAGGAGCAGAGTATAAGCCGGGACGGGAAGGGTTGATAAGCAACCCCATGTCGGGGTTTGGTTTTGGATGATTTAGGGCCCGCCTCGAACACCTCGATGTAGTTCCCGTTCACTGCAGCAGACCGTTCTGTAAGCTAAAGCCCACCTTTCATGTCCCGCAAACCTCAACCTCACACTGCTTCACTTCTGCCCGCTGAAACAAGCATGCCCAAGCCAGAGAGAGATTGCAGACAAATCACAGTGCATGAGTCGAACCATGAACATGCTGATGCAAAGTCGCAGTGATATTCCTCCGGTGCACACACTCCGAAACACAAAGCCCTAAGAAGCCTGAGCCCGAATCCACAGACAGGATCGCAGCAAAATCGTGTTCCTCGACGTGGATGGCGTACTTCGACCGGCACGAGCAGGACCCGCCGCTTCGTGTAGGGGCATCTCAGTAAATCACCGCCAGAACTTCCCGTCTTGTTTCTTTAAGGGTCCATATTCCCGAACATTTGTGGGGGGCTTTAACTGCTGCACAGAGCCCGGCGGTCAGGTTCTCAACAGTGCTTCCCTTCAGCCTCTCAAACATGCGCTATCGTTTTATCCCGCATGCCCTCCTCAATTCTGCTTGATATGTCAGTGCTAGAACGATGGTGCCAGCCACGGTGACCACGCCTGCTTACATGTCTCATGCGGCAGGAACCTTTGACATTTCCACGGATGGCGAGGCCGCCGCCTTGCTGAATTCATGACTGTGATCCCGACATTTTGCAGCTACCTTGAGCCTCTCGCAATTTCGCTACTATCGATCCAGCCCACGCTAATCCCACCGCTCTCCATTGAACTCCAGGTGAAAATATTGTACACTAGTGCCCGTGCATCCAGCAAGTGCCGTCAGACATGTTGTGTAGCGCCGAGAAGCAACCCCCAGGAGCCTGGGAATGTTTGGTAACAACAAGCCAGAGCAACAAAAACCTTTCGTCGGGGCAAGCCATCCACAGAAAGTGCCACTAGATTATAATCTGCTAGACCAAGCTGTTGGGTCACCCTTGTCTAGCTTGATTATTTTGCCTGTCTGATGTCGTGTGTGCTGGGGTGCAGACCTGTGGCGAATGCCGTGTGTTGCGAGGATTCAAAAGCAACCACAAAAGCAGGAACATGCAACGCCTGGGCCATTCAATAAAGCAACAATGTTACGACCCGGCACAGAAGCCAAGTCTGAGGCGAAGCCCGACACTTCCGACTTTTTCCCTGCGGCGCTGAAGGTGAGATTGCCAGCGCTGGCTAGCAGGGTCTGATATTCTGTTACTTCCCACGCACGGAACTTGCTCAAGGTATCGCAGCCGGCGTTGCGTGCCGTGCGGTTGATTCGAGTTTGCCGTATTAATGGATCCTGAGCGTCGTCGCTATGACGTATGCCGGCAGCCGCTTCCAATGACATGTTGTGCAGGCGCTTCGCCACATTATGGCGTAGTCCTTAGATGAGCAATTCCAACCGTATGTCTTTCTGATTGATGCTGAAAGGGTCTGGGCTATTGTTTTCTGAATTCCTTCATGTCTGCAGCTGGGCAAGCAGCATTTAGCATATCTGGCAGCATCAAATTTAACAATCGTCTTGACAGAGTACAGCGCTTCTGGATCCTAGTTCCGGGGGAGATCACCTGAAGAATCTGCAGTTTCGGTCTGACAGGTTCTTATTGCGCAAGATCCGACAAACTCAGCTCCAAAAGCAACGCAACACCGTTGGGTCCTGAAAGCTCGAGCAGCCATGAAACTCAGTTGTGCAACTGTCGGCGCCACCAGCCCAGAAATCCAAGCGGGCCCTCTACAAAGGTCTTTAGATCCAGAATCGGAAGCATCAGATCCCTATACCTCCAAACATTCAAGACTTCACATGCTCCTTTGCTCGAGACACCTCCTCACCACAGTGCAGCTGTCGCAGGCATCGCAAGCCAACTCAGATCCCACACCGGCTTCCAAGAGCTCAAGAACCCTGAGCCCGCATCTCTTAAATTTTGAACGAAATGACAGAATGTTTGTGCGTGTGTATAATGTACATCTGTTTATACGGTCTGTGTATATACAAAGAGTATAGATTATGTCTGCACGTACGTATTTGTGTATCATACATACATGACATTACTTTCAATTGCCTTTACATTTAAACTCACATTACATTTACGTTACATTTACACTACATCTACATTGCATTACGTACGACCTCCGAAGTTCTGGCCAAGGAGCGAAGTAGCGCCAAAGTTGTGTTGTGCGCTGAGTGGCGCCGCAGCGAGGCAAGAGGGACCGAGAACACTAACGAGTGTTGTTGGGTTTCGGCCTTGTCTGAAAACTTGAAATTAGAGTGTCAAACTGTCTTCTGGCAGTGGGGTTTCAACAGCCTGGACAAGCTGCATGGCAGACGAGCTGAGTTCAAAGGGTTTCTTCGGTTGAGTTTTTCCATCTTCGTTGTCTTGATTTGTCTGACTGTCGGGTTTAATTACATAAGTTCGCTGCTGCCAGTGACTGAAAGCTGAAGGGGGACTGAGAGAGTGAGCGAGAGACGGGTACTTGTCGTTTGGAGCTCAAGTTTCAGTACCAAAGAAAGATCTTGAAAGTCGAGAATCCTTCTGGGTTTCACCCGAGTGAAGGAACAGAACACAGACACGACCATGAGCATGGGGATGGCAGGTCCTCCTCAAAGCCTTGGAGGACATCTTCAACAAGAACAGGCCTGGGAGAGAGCAATGTGCAGAAAAGCTTAGATGGAGCCTGGGCAACAGCACTTCATGTGTTCACACGACGCGACTCGCGCTGCCAGCCCTGACAGAATGGAACCCTATATATGTAATTATGAGAGCCGCCTGCCAGAGCCCCAAAGCGTCGAACGCGAGGCTTCGCCTGTGGAGCGACATCACCAGCCAAGAGGTCAAGTTGGAGAAAGGCTGCTTCTTTCTGTGAAAATTGTAGCAGCGCATGCAGATATCAGAGATACCCAGCGCTCCTTTTGCTGACAGAAAGCAGACAGCCCAAGCGTGGTCTTTCGCTCTGCCAAATCTCACATATCCTGAAGCATGCATGCTTTAAACTCCATAACGATCCTTGGTTCGTTTTCGCTGCAGCAGGCGCTGGATGTTGAAGATTCCTGTGTGGCTTAGATTGGGCTTAGGATGATTCGTTACTTCCTCAGACTTGTGTCGGCGTGCTGGCATATCAGGGTGAGGCAGGTTGAAGGATCATTTCCTTGTAGCATCGCCTTGGCTCCAAAGCAAGATCTGTTTTCATGACTCGGCATGAAGTTCATCCTGCAGGCAGCGATCCCCTTCGCAGTTTCGCTGATCGGCGGCCCACGCCCTCAGCAACAAGGGATCACTGGAAGCGTTGCCATAAGCTTCAGGAGAGGGTTCATGGTTCGGTCTAGCAGCATTGGAAATCTGGTGGAAGCTAAGGGATTGGAGTGTCATGCTGCGTTGTCCTACCCAGCAGTAACTCCATGTACCCGAAAATCTTATTGCAAGTGGTATATTGCTATACTCCATTATAAACTCTCAAACACGAACTTTCAACAATCAGGTTAGACCATGGTAGCATCTGGCAAGCGCAACACCCTCATGGCATTAATTGACTAGTGGCGAAGACAGTACTCTTTGAATGTTTCTGGATTGTTAGTCGGTTGCCCTGCGGGCCTGTCGCGATGACCGGTATAGTGGCCATGCTAGTACTGGCTGCGCTTGGACTTAAGGTGTTCCGGCTACTGCAATACTTCATTTTGCAGTTAATTAATTGCTAGGATAAGACCCCGAACAGGGACGCAAGTTCAACCAAGTTGCATACAATGTTCGTGCGTGGTACAATGCGAAGTGAAGCACTGTTCATGCTCATGGTAGAGTAGTGGCGGTGATCATGCCGATCATCATTGATGAACATGATGAATTATTGATGATGGCTTGTGTGGTGTTGACCGTGATGGTCATGGCCGTTGCCATGGAGCTGGTGGTAACTACTTCATGTTTGGCACTTCAGCCAAGGTGGGCGGTGATAATGGCGTTATTGTATCTGGACAACTACAGTACTGTTGGATAAAAATCAACCATAATGATGCCGAGGGGGCGCAGCCTTAGCAAGAAGAATAGGACATGTTTTATGTTGGTGGTGCTGAAGGGGCCTGATCATTCTCATGACAACGAGAAGGCTCCTGAGCGGCAAGGGCTTGTTGTCAAGAACACATGTAGGCGAGCAAAATGAAATGACCACGATAGCCATGGTACTTTGCAGAAGAAGAGCATGCACCTACTGGTATACCAGTAGGCCACTGCTGGCTGCTGTATAGTATAGTTACTCATAAGAACATACGAGCAGCCAACTCTGATGAAGCCGGCTCACAGGTCCAAGGAGATCAGCGCCTGGTTGCGCAAACACGAGGCGTGGACAGCGTCTCATCGGGTCAAAGGCAGGTGGAGGGTCCATAATGAGTAAACCGTCGCCAATCAACGAGGATTTCATACTACTTTGGACAGCTATCCGAAGACTGGTTGAGGCTTCGGGAGAAAATCTAGCGGACTGTCGTCAGCGTCCGTAGATTGTAGATTCTTGAATCTGTGGTAAAGGCGCTGAGGACTCCTGGGCTCCACCGAGTCGATCAGAAACCCTTGGCTCCTACCCTCTTGGTGAGGAGCTTTGCCTCTTGCCTTTTGGGCCAGCAACAGGGTCCTCGGAAACTGTCAGTGCTTCGCGGAAAGTAACCTGCCGATGGAGGACGAAATTATTGTGGCCCTGGACTGGACGCCCAACACGAACCACAATGGTTTCTACTTGGCACAGATGGCCGGCCTTTACTCCACTGCAGGCCTGAAAGTCACACTGCGGTCAGCAGATGCTGGGGATGGGACAACTCCTGCCCGGCAAGTAGCGCAGAAAACGGCCCATTTTGCGGTGGCGCCGTCTGAGAGTGCGATCTCTTTCGCCACCACAGAACCTGACAAGCCACGGCTGGTTGCCGTTGCTGCACTGTTGCAGGGAAGTGCATCTGCCATTTGCACATTGAAAAGCTCGGGCATCGACCGCCCTGCCAAGCTTGCTGGCAAAAGGTATGCCTCTTACAATGGACGCTTCGAGGATCCAATCGTGTCCCGCATGGTCAGCAACGATGGTGGTGATGGTGCCGCAGTGCAATTTCACGGGTTGACTGCCCATGGATACCAGGAGGGTGACACGATGGGTGCCGGCTCTGTCGTGGCTTCCTATTTGGAAAAGGGCAGGTCGGATTCCACATGGATCTTTCCGGCATGGGAAGGTGTTCTGGCAGAGCGTGCCGGACAGCATCTTCATTGCTTTGCCCTGGAGGATTACAACATTCCTTATGGATATTCTCCGGTGCTGCTTGCTCATCCGGAGGATTTGGCACTAGGCTTTGGTTGGGAATGTTTTCTTGTGCTTGCTGTCGGAGCGGACCGCTCCGGTAAAACTGAGGCTTGCACCCGTTGACCTCCAAATGTTTGAACCGCAGTCCTGATGTCAAGCGCTGTGCAGCAGCAGAAGCAGCAGCAATGATAAAGGTAGTGACAGTGAACAACAAACAACAAGAACGAAGCAATACATGAAAACACGAAGCAACGACGAAAACACAAATAGCACCCCAAACAAGCAAGCAAGCACACGAAGCAACCAAGCAAGCAGGCAATCAAGCAAGCAAACGAACGCACACACACACACACTAAAGAAAAAAACAATACAAACAAACACACACAACTCAACGAAACAATCAGACAGCAACAACAAACAGCAGCAGCAACCACAACAGCACCAGCAGCTGCAAGAGCAGCAACCACAACAACCACAACCACAACCACAACCACAACCACAACCACAACCACAACAACAACAACAACAACTACAACAACAACAACAACGCCAATAACAACAGCAGCAGCAACAACAACACCACCGCCACCA